TCTTTCTCTCCCTCCTCCCCCTTCATCCCTTCAACTCTTTCCCCTTCTCTCCTTTCCCTTCCTTCCTTCCTTCCTTCCTTCCTTCCTTCCTTCCTTCCTTCCTTCCTTCCTTCCTTCCTTCCTTCCTTCCTTCCTTCCTTCTTTGCTTCCTTCTTTCCTTCCCTCCCTCCCTCCCTCCCTCTCCTCTGTCATGGTCCTTTATTGATGCTGGCTTTTAGAACAAACCATAACGCTATTTTATACCTATGTATCCCTGGAGGTCTCATTAGGTAGCTGGGAGGGGGAAAAAAAAACTGGTATTAAAAAGGAGGTGAAAAAAAAAAGGAAAGAAAGGGAAAGCAGGCAGGATTTGGAGGGAGGGGGATGCCAGGGAGAGGATGATTTCATCCAGAATACCAAAAAAAAAAAATTGCTTTCATTACGAGAGGTTTGCTGAACATACAGAAAGGTTAGGCGACGTGACAATGAATTTGATCGCTCAGTTGTTCAGAAAAAGCCGTTTAGAGGCTGCCGGATAAAATTACAGGATGGGGACACACTTTTGCTGAATGCATGGGGTCTCTCTCTCTCTCTCTCTCTCTCTCTCACACACACACACACACAAACACACACACACACACACGCACACACACACACAGAGTGTCCCTGGGGCTCGTGGTGTTCTTTGACCTCAACTTCCTTTGCTGCTCTTGACCTTGTTTGTCCAGACTGCGGTCTGCTCTATTTATCCTGGTCAACCCCAGGATGCTGCAAACTGGCATCTCGGAGGCCATCATTGAGGGTTGTTCCAGGGATGAGAGCTTAGCCCAGGACAATGGCAAGAAGGAAAAAGGAGGAGAGAAGGAGGCCTCGGAGAAGGCACCGAAGATGGAGGAGTTTTGTACAGCGGAAAAAAAAAAGATCTTTGTTTATTGGCGATTGTGACGACATAGGTCCTACCAAAGAGAAGTTGAAAGCTTACTATAAATTTGCAGGGCATTTGGGATTGCAACTTGCAGAGTTCCTGACCATGCTGGCTGGAACTAATAAACGCTAATAAACTGTCCAAGATATCTGGTGGAGCTGATGGCCAAAGAAAAATAATAATTTTGATACTTACAAAGGAGAATATTTGAAATGGGTTGAAATGAGGGGTTCTTGATGCTCTCTGAGCTTGGTTGTTTTCGTGCAGATGCTTCGTTACCCAAACTAAGTAACATCATCGGTGCTGGTCTATTTGGCTAATGAAACCTTTGCAAGAAAACAACCAAGCTCAGAGAACATCAAGGACCCCACAGTCCTCCTCCTCCTCCTCCTCCTCCTCCTCCTCCTCCTTTTCTCCTCCTCCTTCTCCTCTTCCTCCTCCTTTTCTCCTTCTCTTCTTCCTCTTCTCCTTCTCCTCCTCCTCTTCTCCTTCTCCTCTTCCTTCTCCTCCTCTTCTCCTCTTCCTCCTCCTCCTCTTCCTCCTCCTCTTCTCCTTCTCCTCTTCCTTCTCCTCCTCTTCTCCTCTTCCTCCTCCCCCCCCCCTCCTCCTCCTCCTTTTCTCCTTCTCCTCCTCTTCTTCTTCCTCTTCTCCTTCTCCTCCTCCTCCTCCTCTTCCTCCTCCTCCTTCTCCTCCTCCTCCTCTGGCTCTAAATCCCACTCCCTTCTAGCACTGATAATGTTACCTAGTTTGGATGATGAAACATTGGCAAGAATTCAACCAATTTCAGAGAGCACCAAAGACCCTGCAAATGATGCCGCCTTCTGTTTTGGATCCTGTCCTGTCTCCAGTCTAGGATTATATTCCCAGCCCCCCAACAAAAAAAAACCCCATTTAAATTGTACAACCATCCTGAATATTCCTTCTGTAATCAAGCAATGAATCCAAACCCTATTTGGGATGACTCATACAGAAAGAAAAGCTGGCCTTTTAAGAAAGATTGATACTTTCTAAGTCCAGGTGCCACAGAGGAAAAAAATCAGGATAGTGCGGGAGTTTAGATAGATTAGATTAGATAGATAGATTAACAGAGTTGGAAGGGACCTTGTAGGTCATCTAGTCCACACCCACCACCGCCCAAGCAGGAGACCCTACACCATTTCTGACCAATGGTAGTCCAGTCTCTTGTTGTTAATGATGGGAAAACAGTATCACGCAGATCCACGAGGAAATGAGAGCTGTTTTAGTGCGAAACCATGCTTTCCCGTTGGAAGTATGATTTAGGCAATTCCTTGGGGTTTTTTTTTTTGGACCACACGTGGAGACGTTAGCTTACAATCCTAGTAGATTTACACCCTGGCTTCCAAACTCCAGCAGCTGCCGCTCACCTGTTTGCCCCTAACTGCAGCCTCCTTCTGTTTATTTCCAATAAAAATATCCTAATATCCTAATGTGAAATAAGCTGAGCTGCAAAGAAGCCCCCACCCCCGCAAAAGAAACCCCCACCATTGCCTTCCTGTTGGCTAGGAAAAACAGCTTTTCTGTTTTCCAATAGAATTTCCCCTGATCATGGGATTATCAAAACGATGCCCTTCACCTCTTACCCACCATGGTCCGTCTTTCCCCCGGACTGCCTTTGCACAAACCAGACCTGTTTTAAGACAGGTGGAACAATTTGGGGCCCTGAGTCACACGGAAAAAACAAAACAAAAACCCTGTGCTGCGGAAAAGTCAACAGCCCCACCACACGAGCGACTTAAACAGACTCCGATGAGCAACACTAAACACACACACACACACACACACACACACACACACACACACACAGACACGCAGAGCGTTAGACCTCAAATAAAGTGAGGGAAAGATAAATTATGGCTCCTGAGCGTCGCTTGCCATCTCCACTTGTAAAGTTCTCTGCTTCCTTCACGGAAAAGGAGGCAAGGCTTTCTTCGTGACAAAAAAATAAATAAATGGCACTATAATTAAATCGCTGAATTGCACGGTTCTTTGCATCTTTTGGAAAGCAGACCGAGGGGGCCGATAACGCTCACCGAAACAGGGGAAGTAAGACATAGTTACAACGATGGCGAACGCTAATAATTTGGGAAAGGTGCCATGCAGGAAAAAAAACAAATGTACATTAGTTTTAACTACGGCTCCTTCCCCTATCTCAGGTCTTCAGAATAACAGGGTTAGAAGGGACTTCAGAGGTCTTCTAGCCCAACCCCTGCTTGATGGTCACTGGTGTGGTTCATAACATGACCCAGGTTGGGATACAAAACAAACACAGTCACAGGTGAAGCCCCTTTTATTCCTTCACTTTGCTCCCAATCTCTGAATATCCTTGACAGAAGACAAAAAACTCCCACACGGGGAAGAAGCAACACAAACCAGGCAAGATAAGGGCTGGAGGACGTCCAGAGAAAACGCACACCAGGAAGGACACCAAACTCAGAGAGGAACTATAAACTAGAGATATTTACATGCTTTGTTACCAGCATTTGCCAGTACAGGTCCATACTTTTATTCAGTTGTCGCAGCTGCAGCCCATGAAGGAGATCAAGGCCCTTGCCTCCCCCATAGACCACGCCATTGACGTTTCTCCCTTACCCTCTTCTCCCTGCCTGCCCTAGGATGGAGAAGGGATGGGCCTGGGTTCTCCCCTGACTGCCCAGCCGGCCTCTGCCCTTCCCCAGCCTCCTCCACAACCTCCGAAGCCACACTTCCACTCCCTGTCGGCTGTTCCTCCTCTCCCTCAGAGTCCGTCTCCACCAGGGGCAGGACACTGGGCCTGACGCAGCGATGAGAAGTTCCCCAGCAAGAAAGCATTCCAAGTCTAAGGAAGTTTGTTGAGTGAACTTCATCAAGCTAGAACGTACAAACCTAGAATGTTAAAAGTTGGAAGGGACCTTAGAAGTCTTCTAATCCAACCCCCTTCTCAGGCAGGAAGCCCTAATACCATTTCAGACAAGTGGCTGTTGAAAACCTCCCGCGTTGGAGCATTTACAACTTCTGGAGGCAAGTTGTTTCACTGATGAATTGTTCTGTCACAAAATTCCTCCTTAGTTTTAGTTTGCTTCTCTCCTTGATTAGCTTCCACCCGTTACTTCTTGTCCTGCCTTCAGGCGCTTTGGGGAATAGCTTGACTCCCTCTTCTTTGGGGCAGCCCCTCAAATACTGGAAGTCAACTCAATTTATTTAGGAGCCAATGTAGTCCTGTTTTTCCCCCCCACTAAACTAGACATACCAAATTCCTGCAACCATTCCTGATATGTTTCTTTAGCTTAATATTTCCTACACTTTTTTCTTAGAGAGGTCACCTACGTACATAAATATCCACTGCCCTATTCCTAAAGTGTTTATGTACGTAGATGACCACTTTAAGAAAACCCTTCTTTGTGCTAATAGTAGGAAGGGGAAAAATCTTGACCTCATTTCCAACATTTCCCCCCTTCTTTTGCCCATCTCTATTTTCCACCGCAGAGGCTTCCCTCCCTCTTGCAAACGAAATATCAACCATGGTGGAACCTTAAATATTATTTTAATCTCAAGCTTTCTGTTATTGCAACCGGTGGGTGTTTAACCGTTCTTGTAAATACTTGGAGGAATTCCAGGTCCTGAAACGCACCAAACCTACAGGGAGATGAGATCTGATTTTTTTAAGGAAGGACCACCTGAAGATTTAGACCTGGATCAAGAACGAAATTTCTACCTTGATGTTCCTCATTCTCCATATGTTCTTTCTTCCATTCAATCTTCTAGAAAGTGGTCTGCACTGGAGAACTTAAGTGGTATCCTTGCCCTTCGTTGGTCCGCTGCATCAAAGGTTGCGAGGTGAGTAAGCCAGTCCAGTTCTCTGGGTTTTCCACTACAGATCTTGTCTCTCTCTTTCTCCATCTCTGTCGGCTCCATTCTTTCCCTTTCACCACCATAATCCATGATGGTGGCCTTCCATGCACTTGTTATGGTGGCCTTCCATGCACTTGTTAGATAACTTTCCCTCAACTCCGGTAAGTAGCAAAACCTCGCTGACTTGTTCTAATCTCCCAAAGTAAAGCCAGGATCAAACCTGGTTTGTGTTTGGATGGGGCAAATTTCAGGAAAGCAAACTAGTCCTGGGATGTAAGAGAGAGAGAGAGAGAAAGAAGTTCTCAAAGATGACGGTGAAAAACCAGTTCCGTATTAAGAGGTTCTCCGGGTTCAATAGAACTTGAGGAAAGCTTTTATCTTTAACCCATTCTTTTAATTCGTTCAGTAAATTCAGATCTACACGATGTGATAGAAGACACTTTGAAGAAATGTATGCATTTGGTTTAAAATGAAGAAGGCAGATGAATCCCAACATCTCCTTCTAAAGTGGCTAGCTTTTTAAAACAAAAAAAATATATATGCAAAATGGATAGATTTGTTAAACAGACATGGAATTAGTCTAGTAACTTTTTGGAATTAAGACTAATTCAAGATGGGTTATTTCTCTGTGTGTGTTTCATCTATTTTCTTGTATAATCCCGAGTCAAATCTCAGCCTCAGACCAAGGTGGAGTGCCCGCTCGAAACGTTTAAACCCACATTTTTCTCCTCTTTCACTTTTTTTTAAAATAATATTATTATTATTATCATCATCATCATCTCTTCTCACTTCCGAGCTTCCTGCTTGCACTTACATCATGCTTTTTCACACGTTTCCTCGAGTTTTTTTTTTTAAAAATTACCCACAAGTTTTAGTCTCTCCTGAAGAGCGAAGGCTTCTACACACAAGAAAAAAAGTGGAAGGGTGGGTTTTTTTAAAAAAATGATTATCATTATATTTTTTTTAACACAGCAGGCAAGAAGGAAGGTATTTGAGGCCTATGATTAAAAATTGTCTCACTGTGCCATTAATAGATCGATGTTTACGTTTTGCACTTAACTCATCTCCTTGAAAATAGCTTGCTTGTTTGAGGGATGTGTGTGTGTGAGAGAGAGAGCGCGCGCGTGCACAAGGACAGCTCTGGGTTTCATGCAATTTTTTTTTTTTTACCCCCCTTGCAAGATTTAATCAAGAATCTTTTCTCACTCATCCTTTGGAGAAAGGGTTCTGGCACGTGCTCAGTTTAAAAGCTGTTTAGAAGGAAGGGTTGTTTGGGGTAGTTTTTTTTCTATTTTTCCCTTTTGGGAGAGGATGAGATAAGCTTCCTTAAAAAAGAACATTGGAGAAAGGGAGCGGGACAAACTCTCCGATTGAAAAGGATCGCAGAAAAAGGAACGAAGGTGTCAAAAAGACATTTGAGGTCCCGTTCACCTACTTTCCGCTCCATGAAGGAAATCCAGGCCTAAAACCTCGCCGGGGAGAACGATTCAGACTCTTTGAAACAGAAATCCGATCGCTTCTCCAGGCATCGATTCGGGCATCAAATTGCATTTATTCTGAAGGAATTTATTCTAGGATTTCAACCCTGCTTAATTCAAGGTCATCACAGCTCATTAAACCTTCAAGGAGCTTCGCCTGCATCCCTTCCACAATTAGAAGCTCTGCTTATGTGGGGGTGGGTGGGTGGAAGTCTGAGGGGATGCACAATCTTATGGGGTGCAGGTTACGGATGTCCCAGAGGTGCTTTCCCAAAAGGCAACTGGATATTCTTGGGTGTCGTCCCCCCCGCCCGGCTTTGAAAACGTTTAGTAGCTTTTCATCCAAGAAGCTTCTTCCATTCGGTTCAGAATGGAAGAAAAGAATAGAATAGAATGGAATAGAATGGAATGGAATAAACAACAGTACAGAATATCTATCTATATCTATCTATCTATTCATCCATCCATCCATCCATCCATCCATCCATCCATCCATCAATAGAATAGAATAAACAACAGTACAGAATATCTCTATCTATCTATCTATCTATCTATCTATCCATCCATCCATCCATCCATCTATAGAATAGAATAGACAAAAGTATAGAATATCTGTGTCTGTCTGTCTGTCCGTCCTTCCATCAGAATAGAATTAGAATAGAATAGAATAGAATAGAATAGAATAGAATAGAATAGAATAGAATAAGGAATAGAATGGAATGGAATAAACAACAGTACAGAATATCCATTCATCCATCCATAGAATAGAATACAATAGGGAATAGAATAGAATAGAATAGAATAAGGAATAGAATGGAATGGAATAGAATAGAAACAGTAGAATAGAATAAAGGAGAGAAGAGAATAAAGAATAGAATAGAATAAGGAATAGAGTAGAATAGAATAGAATAGAATAGAATAGAATAGAATAGAATAGAATAGAATAATAGAGTAAGAAGGGACCTTGCAGGACTAGGAAGAACTGGGAAGGGAAAAGGTACGGCTCTACCAATTGAAGGCTTGGGATTCTACCGGTTCGGACCCGTTTGGGCGAACCGGTTGTTAAATTTGCATCAGGTTCACTGAATCGGTATTTGAACTGACAGGCTGGCCCCACCCACACCACCCCTCCTCTCCCCTCCCAGGAGTGTCCACGGTACCAATTTTGGATGCAGGTAAGGGCAGGGGTCTGGGAGGGGGGAAAATGGGCCTTCCGGAAGCACCAGAAGTCTGGAAATGCTCCTGTTTCTGGCTTCTGTGAAGGGCCTCCAGACCCTTGGGATGGTGAAAAACAGCCCTGCTGGATTTTCCGGTCGGCCGCGCCCACCCAACAACTGAGCAGCGAAGCGGTTGCTGGGATTTTTCAATCCCACCCCCGATTGACATCACTCTAGTCTTTTCCCAGCCCCTCGCTGGCCCTGCACCAGGCAGAAAGGCAGAAAATCCAGGCTCCCCCACCCCCCCCACAAAAAAGAAAAGATGACGTAATGCACTTTGGTGTGTGTGTGTGTGTGTGTGTGTGTGTGACATCATTGGAATGCAGCATTAGGTCACCCTAAACTTTTCTCAGCCCCCCATCTGGCACTGCGCCAGGCAGAAAGCCAGAAAAACCCAGGCTTCCGCCCCTCCCGCCCCCCCTCTAAAAGAAAAGATGACGTAATGCACTTTCGGGGCGGGGGGGCGGGGGGGTGACATCATTGGAATGCAGCATTACGTCGCCTATTCTCTTCTCAGCCCCTAGCTGGCACTGTGCCAAGCAGAGAGGCAGAAAATGCAGGCTTCCTCCCTTCGAGAAAAGGTGTCGTAATGCACTTTGGGAGGCGACATCATCGGAATGCAGCATCGCATCTCTCTCGTCTTTTCGCAGCCCCTAGCTGGCACTGTGCCAAGCAGAAAGGCAGAAAATTCGAGCTTTCCCCATAAAAGATGATGTAATTCAGTTCGGGGGGTGGGGAGCTATATCATTGGAATGTTGACTAGTTTTTGTTTTTGTTTTTTAAAACCAAAATCAACTAATTATAGATTTAAAGCAACCCTTTGGCCTTCGGTTTTAGCCATAGCAACCAGATCCGTGTTTGTTTAAATACAAAAAGGGTTTGTCCACCCAGTCTCACTGTGGAGTTGTAAAAGAATGAAAACAAAGAAACAGAACTGGTTCAAAGCATATCTTACTTTATTTTATAGAACACAGGTTTATTCATCTCAAAGACACCAATGCAAACGTGGAGGTCTTAGAACATCTATCAACATTCGTAGTCACCTAAAACTCGTACGGTCTTGCATGCTTTCCACGTTATGCCGGGTGTTGATTTAACACACTTGGGCACACTTTTAAGATTTGTGGGCTTCAATTCCCAGAATTCCCTAAGCAGCAAGTAGGAATTCTGGGAGTTGAAGTCCACAAGTGTTAAAGTGGCTGAGTTTGGTGCTCCCTGATCTTAAAACAATAAATGGCTAAAATAAGTGGCTATTGTAAGAAACAAAATTTACCTTCGACTCCAGAAAACCCGGAGTCTGTTTGCAGAGAACCTTAAAAGCAATGGCAACAAGAGATAATACGAAGGTTTACCAAAGGAGCAACATACCCACATATAAGTCTATTCATGTTGTGGTTTGCTGGCAGCAGGTGCAGACGGCTGAGGTCTCGGAGAGCGAGGACTCAGAGGAGGGGCCTGCGTGTGATGTAGGGATTGGGCCAGGACCATCAGGGCGTGGAATGCTGCCTTCAGAGATGGTGGAGGCTGGCAGCAGTGAGGAAGAGGTCCCCGAGGAGCCTGTGCCCAGTGTGCGTGCGCGCAGGGCTGCTCAAAGGAAAGACACGGGCGACTTGGGAGTAAGGCCCCTCCCTTAAGAGATAAAAGCCAGCTGAGAATCTGGAGTTCTTTGCAGGAAGCAAATAAGTTTTTGCACTCAAGCCTTGTGGATGTTTGAAATATCTTGGTTGGTATTTGGAGACTCTTCGTGTTTGAAATCTTTCTTAGTAACTTTATCTAGTCTTCTCGGCAGCCTTGCACCACCTTGGCAAGGCTCGTTCTTATCCGAGACAATTAGTTTGAAACAGCCTTTTAACCGTGAAGGAACAGAATTTGTAAAGAATCATTAAAAGGTTTTGCTGTTACCTCTGTTTTGTGGTTGTTTCCTTGTTGAACAAGGATTGGGTCAGAACAATTCAATACAATAATAAATAAGTAAATCGTTATTAATAATCTATCAAACTTATTGGATGCTCTTGTTTTCACAGAGTAACTGGATGGCTGAATTGGAACAGATTTGGATTTCCCGCTAAAAATGTTGATGTCTCTTGCTTATCATTCTCCAGAGTCTTCATGGTGGAGATTTGTGGCCGGTCCCCAATGTTCATTAATGAGCAAGTTGAATACTGCCCTCATCTTTTTTCTTCTTCTTCTTTTTCCAGCCTTTTGGAGGTGACAATTATTGCGATCCGGTCAACAACCGAGCCTTTTGCAACTATGACGACGGAGATTGTTGTGTCTCGACGGTGAAGACCAAAAAGGTATGGTGGCCATTGGGTGTTAAGTCCAAGAGAATGTAATCTCCTTTAGCCTTCTCCTTTCCATTGCAACTGCTGTTTTCCCATTTGCAATTAAAATATTGGAAACTGGGGACTACGCTAACAGGGCTTCACATCATCTTACATCCTTTCTGCAGATTCTCCTGTAGTAACCTCAGATGAAAAAATAAAACGAGTTAAGAGATTCTTAAGAAGGAAAGCAAGCAAGCTTTAATTTTTAACTGACATGCCTTAGATTTGCTCTGTATGCCTACTGTAATAAAAGAAGAACTAGGGATGACATGTAGTCTTCCGATATTTGAAGGGCTGCCATAAAGAAGAGGGGGTCAACTTATTTTCCAAAGCACCTGAAAGCAGGACAAGAAACAACGGGTGAAAATTAATCGAGGAGAGAAGCAACCTAGAACCAAGGAGAAATTTCCAGACAGTTGGAACAATTCATCAGTGGAATGACTTACCTCCTGGGTGCTCCAAAACTGGAGGTTTTAAAGAAGAGATTGGACATTTGTCTGAAATGGTTTAGGGCCAGGGTCTTCAAACTTGGCAAGTTTAAGACTTGTGGACTTCAACTCTCAGAATTCCTGAGCTAACGTGACTGGAGGAGGAATTCTGGGAGTTGAAGTCCACAAGTCTTAAAACTCAAGTTTGCAGACCCCTGGTTTAGGGCAAGGGTCTTCAAACTTGGCAAGTTTAAGACTTATCGCCTTCAATTCCCAGAATTCCTCCTCCAGCTCAGGAATTCTGGGAGTTGAAGTCCACAAGTCATAAAGCTATCAAGTTTGAAGACCCTTGCTTTAAGGTCTTACGGCAGTCTTTCTCAACCTCAAACCTTCTCAAGAAATATCTGAGGGGAATTCTGGGAGTCGAGGTCCATCTTAAACTTGGCAAGGTGGAGAAACACTTGAAACTCTAGCACAAGGCTCTTCAAACTTGGGAAGTTTAAGACTTGTGGACTTCAACTCCCAGAATTCCTGAGCTAACATGACTGGAGGAGGAATTCTGGAAGTTGAAGTCCACACGTCTTAAATCTGTCAAGTCTGAAGACCCCTTGGTTTCCAGCCTGAGCAGGGAGGGTTGGTTTAGAAGACCTCCAAGGTCCCTTTCAACTCTGTTATTCGGTTACATTCTGTTTTTATCTCCTGGAAGTATAACTGATCTATTTAACAGTCACTAGCAGAAGGGGAAATGAAGTTTATATAGGATTCCCCAACTTGTGTTTCACCCTCCTCCTGTGATGAGGCCCACCTGCCTTTGAACTGCCATTCTGCCCTTATCTTAAAAGATGCTAGTTTCCTTCTCCTTTGGAATTTTAAAAGCCTCGCTGAAGTTTATGAAGGGCCCAACTTTGGAATAAATTAACAAAAACCGTCTGGCCAGCACAGCTGATGAATACATTTGGTGACAGAGAAAGACGAGAAAAAGAGATAATCTATATCAAACGCCCCAAACTTTTTGCATTTCAAAGAGAGGCCAACTCCAGACTGGCCTGGTGAGCTCATTCTTAAGAATTCAGCTGCTGTAACATTTTAAAGCCACAGGCAACATTTTAAAAATAATGTAATTCCAGTAATTCTGGAGCGCTCAAAAGATATCTGCCGGATTTAGATCTTGTTGAGACTCTGGAAAGTGTGCAGAGGTTATTTCAATCAATCAATCAATCAATCAATCAATCAGAATAGAGCTGGAAGGGATAATTGTAGATAATCAGAGTTAGAAGGGACCTTGTAGGTCATCTAGTCTAGCCCCCCCCCCATCTAAGCAGGAGACCCTACACCATTTCTGACAGATGGCAATCCAATCTCTTGAAAGTCTCAAGTGATGATGCTTCCACAACTTCTGAGGGCAACTTCTGTTCCATGGATTGATTGCTCTCACTGTCAGAAAATTCCTCCTTATTTCCAGGTTGAACCTCTCCTTGTTCAGTTTCCATCCATCATTCCTTGTCTGGCCTTTGGTTGCCTTGGAAAATAGCTTGATCCCCTTCCTCTTCTCTGGGGCAGCCCCTCAAATATTGGAAGACTGCTCTCCTGTCTCCCCTGGTCTTCACTAGACTAGCCAGGCCCAGTTCCTGTAATCATTCTTCATATGTTTTAATCTCCAGTCCCCTAATCATCCTGGTTGCTGTTCTCTAGTCCAATTTCTTTAAAACCCCCAGTGATAAATCACCCACAACTTCTGGAGGCAAGCAATTCCACTGGGTAATTGTCCTCACTATTAGGAAGTTTTTCCTTAATTCTAGGTTGCTTCTCTTCTTGATTAGTTTCCGTCCATCGATTCTTGTTCTTTCTTCTGGTGCTTTGGAAACTGTGTTGACCCCTTCCTCTTTGTGGCAGCCCCCTCAAATACTGGAATAGTGCTATCATATTCATTTTCTGTAGACTGGCCATACTCAAATCCTGCAACCATATGTTTTAGTCTTCAGGCCCTTAATCATCATTGTTGCTCTTCTCTGCACTCTTTCTAGAGTCTCAACATCTTTTTGGTAACATGGTGACCCAAACTGGATGCTGTATTCCAAGTATGGTCTTACTAAGACTTTGTAAAGTGGTACTAATGCTTCCTGCGGTTTGTAAGAAGCAGTTCAAGAGGGCAAAGCATGTCCAGGAATTTACTGATCCAGTGAAAGAAAACTTAAAATAAAATTTAAAAAGATCTAAAGTTAGAACATTCTTTCCCTGATTATCTACTACTTTCAAGCCAGAAAACCTTCCCCCAACTTAGGAGGCCTTCTGCATTCCCGCAGAGCTAAGCAACTTCTCGAAGGACAAGAATAGGTGAGGTGAGGACAGGGACAAACTTAGATTTTATGTCATTTGTGGGGCATAGATGTATGGAATTAAATATAGCTCATAGCATGACTTTCCTTCGTAAAATCAATAATTCCTTTCTCCAGTTTTTATCACCGCCCATCTCAGTCAATGACCCTGGGTGGCTTATGATTCAGAAAAATGCATTGCAATTAAAACTACTAAAAACATTTTCAAACAATAAAAATGCTGAAAACGTTCAGATAATAGAACAGAATAAGACATAGAATAGAATTACAGAATAGAATTACAAAATAGAATTACAGAATAGAATAGATTAAAGAATAGAATAGAATTACAGAATAGAATTACAGAATAGAATAGAATTACAGAGTAGAATTAAAGAATAGAATTACAGAATAAAATAGAATTACAGATTAGAATGGAATAGAATTAAAGAATAGAATAAAATTGAATAGAATTACAGAATAGAATAGAATTATAGAATAGAATAGAATTACAATTACAGAATAGAATAAAATTGAATAGAATTACAGAACAGAATAGAATTACAAAATAGAATAGAATTACAGAATAGATTAGAATTACAGAATAGAATAGAATTACAGAATAGAATTACAGAATAGAATGGAATAGAATTACAGAATAGAATAAAATTGAATAGAATTACAGAATAGAATAGAAAAAAGGAGTAGAGTAGAGGAGACTAGAGTAGAGTAGAATAGAATAAGAGTAGCATAGAAGTAAAACACATGGCCAGGTAGCAATGCAGCCAGGAAAAGACACATTCAGCATTCCACACGTGGGAACATAACCCGGTTTTTATGACCTTATGAGAAGCTAACAGAGTTGGGGAGGGGCCTTCTGATCTCTGAAGAGAGATTGACCAGGGGCCACTGCAGAACAAGGACATCCACTGGTCCTCACCAACTCTTTGGCTGACTGGTTCTGCAGCAGGTCCTTTCTGCTTGAATTGGTTGGACAGCTACAGACTCTTGGAAAAGGTATCCCTCTCAGGTTCTGTTAGAAACTATAGGATCTGGGGACAACTTGGGGATGTCTATGGAGATTCTCAATCATCCAGGTCATGTCATTGTCCCAACAGTACTTTTTTCCAAAGAACAATTGGACTTTCTTGGTTTATTCTGCGAAGGAAAAAAAGGAAGGGGGAGGAAAGGAAGAAGAAAGGGGAGGAGGATCAGAAGAGGAAGAAGAAGAGAAGGAGAAAGAGGAAGAGGAAGAAGAAGGGCAGGGGGAAAGGGAAGGGGAAGGGAGGGAAGTAAGCAAGCAACCTTGGATTAGAAGCAAAACGTTTCCATAGGGGGAAAGAAATACAAGAAAGTCTAGTTGCCTTTTGGGGGGGAAAAGTATCTTTGGGGGGACAACTTGGGAAGGGGCTTCCCTCCCAAGTCTTCTATGGGCCTGTGCACCCCTGAAAGCTTTTGTTACAAGCCCCTCTCTGTCACAGCGATATGTCTGAAATTCCTTGCGGTTCACAAATAAAAACTCTGTCCTGCTTGTTGGAGGCCAGGCCCAGAGGTCAATGCACTGAGCTACCACCAGATTCCCAGTGGAAGAGAAACTGTCTAGCTAGGAAGATGGCCTGTCCCTTCCTTTGCATAACTTTGGGTTTCAATGTTGCTGTTCTGACCCACACCCTTTTCCAACAAATCAAACATGATTCAGAAAGAACAGAAACCTTGTAATGCTTTTACAAAATAATTAGCTGTGATAAGCACAAGCCTTGCCAAACCGTGCGAAAAGATAACAGACAAGAAATAATTTGCAAAATAAGAATTTTCAAATACAAACTCGGGATACTAGAATGTCCACGAGGCTGGAGTTTCAAAACGACTTTGCCTTCTGCAAAGTACATTCGCTTCACAGCTGACTTTTATCTTCTTGAAGGAGGGGCCATTACCTTGCAGCCTTACTCCCGATTTGCCCGTGCTGTTGCCGCTGGTCTTTCCTGCGAGCAATCCTGCGTCCACGCACACTTGGCACAGGCTCCTCGGGAACCTCATCCTGCTGCCAGCCCCCACAATCTCTGAAGGCAGCAGTCCACTCCCTAATGGTCCTGGCCCCTCAAGGGAGTCCTCGCTCTCCTCAGCCATCCGCACCTGCTACCAGCTAACCACAACAGTTGCAGAGAAACAGGTGGATGCACGCATGAGGGAGTGTCTAGCTGGTGAACATTTATCTATAAATATTTTGTCTATTTCCAGAAGCCCCTGTGGATGTCATCACAAGAGAAGCTGGCAGGTGTTTTTTTTTTTCCTTTCAATTGTTCCTAGAAGGAACAAATCAAGGTGTCAGTAGGGATAGACAGAGTGTTGCAAATGCTAAAATGAAAAAAAGGGGAAGAGGTTGTGGCATCGGCCAGCAAGGGAGAGAAATTAACCTATTAACACTGGCAGCACAGATGGGAGAAGACCCCGGGGACTTCATTCCCCGTCGCCCTTCCCTCTCCTGATGCAATCCTTCGAAATTGGCTTCCTCCTCTTGAAGCAAGCCTATCTCACAACGATAAAACTTGAAGATCCCCTGGCTGGGTTATTATAACGTGCTTGGTGTGGTGCAGCCTCTGGAGATGTCTGAGAAGGCACCTCACCAGGTGTGGAAATTTAGTCCTTCTGTAAGGTAAAGGTAAAGGGTTCCCCTTGCACTAGTCATTTCTGGCTCTAGGGGGCGGTACTCCTCTCCGTTGCAAAGCCAAAGAGCCAGCACTGTCCGAAGACGTCTCCGTGGTCATGTGGCCAGCATGACTAAATGCTGAAGGCGCACAGAATGCTGTTCCCTTCCCACCAAAGGGGTTCCCTATTTTTCTACTTGCCTTTTTAACATGCTTTCCAACTGCTGGGTTGGCAGAAGCCGGGACAAGGAATGGGAACTCACTACATTACACGGCGCTAGGGATTCGAACACCGAACTGCTGACCTTTCTGATTGACAAGCTCAGCGTCTTAGCCTCTGAGCCACCACATCCTTTTGTAGGAGAGCGAATGGATTGTTCTCAGGAATGTGAAATGGCCTTGAAAGTCAACTGACCTCCTAAAGGTGTTGCAGGCCTGCTGTTCATGAGATGAAGCCCCCTCTTCCATTGGCCAACTGCAGCTGGGCAGATAAACTCAAGAACCATCCTTCTTGCCTCCACACATGTTAAAAAAAGATGTCGAGACTCTAGAAAGAGTGCAGAGAAGAGCAAACCAGATGATTAGGGGACTAGAAGCTAAAACATATAAAGAACAGTCGCTGCAATTGGGTTATGTCTGGTTTAATGAAAAGAAGGTCTAGGAATGACATAATAGCAGCATTCTGATAACTCATATTCTGGTGAGAGAAACGTTCTTCAAGGATGAGCTCCAGAACAAGTCCAAAAAGACTAAACTTCTAGTCCCAGTGACTTTGCCTTCTGGTAAATGGGTAGTGGCTGAGTAGACAAGCCCACCATTGTTTCGAGCTTCTAGTTATTCCATTCTGCATTCTTGCTCTTTTTTTAAACATATAAACATATAAGTATAAACAGGTATAAGTATATACATAATAAATGAGTACAAATAAATAGGAACAGTAGGCCAGGGATGATAGGCACGCTGGTGTGCTTACGCATGCCCCCTTACAGACCTCTTAGGAATGAAGTTAGGTCCACGGTAGTTTAAGGTTAGCGTTTTGGGGGGTTTGAGGATGTAACAACAGAGTCAGGGAGTGAGCTCCAGGCATTGACCACTCTGTTGCTGAAGTCGTACTTTCTGCAATCGAGTTTGGAGCAGTTTACTTTGAGTTTGTATCGATTGTTTGCTCGTGTGTTATTGCGGTTGAAGCTGAAGTAGCCATTGACAGGTAGGACAATTTTGTTTACTAAGCTTAGTTCAGGCCGTAGGCGGCATAGTTCTGAGTTGTCCAGATCCAAAATTTCAAGCCTGGTGGCATAAGGGATTCTATTGCTTCTCCTTGCTTCTTTTTAAGTCTATAGAAAACAGAATTATCTTACTCAAATGTGTTCAGTCCTTGACATTTTAAAGCTTAAAGTGACTTCACTTTACCAAAAAGAGCAACAAAGATGGTTAAGGGACTGGAAACTAAAACACGTAAAGAATGGTTGCAGGAACTGGGTATGTCTAGTTTAATGAAAAGAAAGACTAGGGGTGACATGATGACAGTGTTTGATATCTCAGGGGCTGCCCCCCAAAAGAGGGAGTCAAGCTATTCTCCAAAACGCCTGAAGGCAGGACAAGAGGCAACTTGGATGGAAACTGATCAAGGAGAGAAGCAACCTAGAACTAAAGAGAAATTTCTGGATAGTTACAACAACTAGCCAGTGGAATAGCTTTCCTTCAGAAGTTCACTGGAGGTTTTCAAGAAAAGATTAGACAGTCCTTTGTCCAGAATGGTGTAGGGTTTCCTCTTTGACCAGGAGGTTGGACTAGAAGACCTCCAAGGTCCCTTCTGATTCTGTTAATTCTCTTACAGGTCATCCCATTCCCCATGTCTTGCGACCTGCAGGGAGAATGTGCTTGCTTAGATCCCAATGCTGAAGAGCACAATCAACAAGACCACCGTGGCTTCAACTTTGCCTAACGCCATGCGTTAAGGCACATCAGAGAGAGAGAGAGAGAAAGAAAGAGAGAGAGAGAGACAGAGAGAGAGAAAGAGAAAGTGCTTCCCCGCCAGCGGCAGGCAAGGAGACGCACCATTCCACCTCTACGTTTTACCAGTATCATTTAAAAAAAAAAAAAAAAACAAGCTGCTCAAACTCTCACCAGGTGTCGTTTCCACGCCAGGGGCATTTATAGACTGCACCCAGTTCTGCCTTCCATTTTCTTCCCGCGAGGAGACCCAAAACTCTGGCGGAGGGAGTTTGTGTGTGTGTGTGTGTGTGGGAAACGGGGGCGAGCCGGGTTATTTGTATTAATTGTATCTTAACTAGCGAGAACAAGCAAGGCCGCCCCAAAAGTGGACTTTCCAGGGCGGGCCTTTTTAGGGGGGGTGGGGGTTAGGGAGAAGAAGAAAGCATGTGTTACTCAGTACTGCGTCCATCTCGTAGGAACCGTGTTATGGGTTTTTTGTTTTTTGTTTTTAGGTTCCGTTTTGTACGTCTTTGGAGTCAAAACTTTGGTTTTCTGCATTTCTGGATCCCCAATTACGGCAAGAAACATAGATCAATGTTTTACCTAATATTTATAGAGAGAAACTAGAGGAGGGAGGGAAGAGGGACAGAAAAGAGCAAGAGAGAGAGAGAGAAAGAGAGGGAGAGAGAGAGGGAGAGAGAGAGGAAGAGTGTCTGTTTTGGTAAGAAGAGGGAGCTCAATGTTTGACCCTTCGGCAAACGTTCACAGCCCTCAAGCCTTTTCTTCCAGAGAAGAGTGGACCTCTTTGGCCGAGCCAAGTTCTGCTTGGGCCGAATGTGAATCCCCTCCCTACGTCTTGAGGTCACTGCAACCACCAGAGCTCAAGTTCTCAAGACCTTGCCAGCTCTTGTGGAAGGACACACCTGTGGTCCGAAGGGGCTGAGCGCCAAGAGGGCGAAAGCTGCTAACGTGCTCCCCGTCGCTGCCAGAGAACCGAGCGGAAGATGACAAAGATGACCAAGAAGGTCAACCATAGATCTCCATTCTGCCATGCTGCTAATTCTACTGCTGCTAGAGTCTCAGTCAACCGAAATCCCCTTCCCGTTTTCAGGAACAGGGTGACCTTCAACTTTCCAAACAACCGGACAGTCTGCCTTAAAATTGCTTTATCGACTGCCTGCCTTTCCAAATCCTCCTTGGCTGTATTGTCTTCCCTTTGTGTGTGTGTGTGTGTGTGTCCCACATTGGGGAAGAAACTGGGCCATCACCCAACCTGAAGAGTTTGCCTTCCCCAGAACAAAGCTTCAGTAGATAAGAGCGAGAAGGGACACGCCCTTAATCTATTCTTACTTGGGCGGCAGTTCCTCCAAGCTATGTCTTCACCCATGTTTCATTTGTTGGGATCAGGGCTTTCCGAGCTTGGTGACTTTAAGACGTATGGACTTCAACTCCCAGAATTCTCCAGTCAGCAGTGGAATGATGGGAGTTGAAGTCCACAAGGCTTAAAGTTGATGAACTCCTGCTCAGCGACAGCCCAGTTCCTCCTAGCTTGTTTCTTGGCCCGTGTTTCCTCTGTTGGGGTCAGGGACCTCCAAGCTTGGTGACTTTAAGACTTAGGGACTTCAACTCCCAGAATTCCCCAGTCAGCATGGAATGCTGGGAGTTGAAGTCCGCAAGTCTTAAAGCCACCAAAGTTGAAGAGCTCTTTGGGTTAGTTTCCTTTCCCTCTTTAGCTTTAAAAATAACACTTAAAAAAAAAAGTAGCTGAAACAACACTATAAGTGATGGATGGGGGAAGGGACCATGCCTTAAGGAGAGAACTGAGGATTTTCTGCCAACTTTCCAGCTGAAGGAAACCCCCATATATCAGTATTATTATTTTTTTCATGGAAAATTCCATTTTGCAAAAAAAAAAAAAGCGGCGGAGGAGTTGACTGCAATCACCTTTTTAGTCTAACCCCTCCAATTTTGTCCTCTTTGGGGGGTCAGTCAGTCAGAGGGCAGAGTACTTATTCTCCCACCTCTTCTGCTGGAAAAGATGGAAGCCCCCTCTCCTTCAACTTGGGTGCCCCCCTTCTGCAAGGAATCTGGAAAGCAACCACAATTCTCCTCGGCTGTGGCCAACACAGAGGAGCCAACCCTTCCATGGCCCAGGCATAGACACAAGAGGCACAATTTAGCACGTTGTTGCTTGTGGGGTGTTGTCTTTATGCCGAATGGCTCCATTGCCACGGTCTGGATGCCATTCGGGTGAGAACAAACCACAACCTTGGGCGCTCCAGATGGCAGAGAAAGTTGGCTTCACGATTCCCCCTGAGCGTTTAATCCCTGGGAGGAGAGAGAGAGAAAACGAGGGGCGAGTTGACTTTGAGGAAAGAGTTAGTGTCTTTGGAAATCCTTCAAGTGAAGCTGACATTTGCTGTTTGGGGTTGAGATGCTCTTTGAGGTCTGCCAACGTCAAATCCCGAAGATCTTTCCATCCCATATTTTCACAATAACCTTGTTAGAGCCCCATCCTCAGCCTTCCTGGCTGACTTGGCATGTTTCCTGGGATGGATAGAACTTGGAGCCCAATTAATTTCTGGGAAGATGCAACTATAGTTTAATTGGTTGAGTGGGTCCCAACTGGACTTTTTTTTTGTTTTTTCTTGAAGATGTTTTGCTTCTCATCCAAGAAGCTTCTTCAGTTATGAACTGAAGAAGCTTCTTGGATGAGAAGCAAAGCATTTTCTTCCTCAAGGGGGAAAAAGTGCAAATTCAGGTTGGGGGACTGCCTTTTCCTCCTCCTCCTCCTCCTCCTCCTCCTCCCCCACCTCCTCCCCCTCCTGCCATTACCTCGTTGGGTCATGAAACATCTTCAAGAAAAGAACCAAGCTCAGAGAGCACCAAGGACCCCACAGTCCTCCTCCTCCTCTTCCTCCTCTGTCTTGGAGGGTACTTTGGAAGCAGGCTTCAGCTACCTCTGTCATGGTGTCCTTTGGTTGTAACCGTAGGTTCATTTTTGGTTTTTACCTGTGTTTTGTTTTTGTTTGGAAAGAAGAAAGAAGAAGAGGAGAGAAGGTGGGGACTTCAGATGTTTTTTCTTGGCCTGCAAATTGCTGCAATTGATTTGAGGGGCATCTGAAGGGGAGAAAAATATCCATCCCTGTTTGTCCAGAAAAGAAATGTTTGGATGTTGGGCCCAAACGTGACGGATGAGAAGTAACAGATATGGCATTGTGTTTTAAATGAAGCATCCATTTCTGCCAGTCGCAAGAAAGGATGGAGAACCTGAATTCCTACAGATGTTTATGGTCTACAACAACCAACATTCCTTGTCATTGAACCACAGCTGCTCAAAGTTGTAGGTCACCTCCATCTGCAAGGCTCTTCAGGTCCCCGAGTATCTAAATAGAAGGAGGTAGAAGGAACAGACTTTCTATGTTGTGTGGGTCAACGTTTTATGGCCTCCAAAGAGCAGTGCTCTCTAAAATAACACAAGCTTTACAGTGTGTTGGAAGCTGTGTGTTGCACATCCCAGGGAAGTTATGGAAGCCTGAGAAAGTGATGGAGATCCAACCTACAGTTGAACTTCTTTCGTTCCTTCCTTCCATTGTTGGTTAGATAACAAGGGTTACCTTCCTGAACAACTGGCATCCCATGTCTTGTGAATAGGGGTGGAATAGATGAAATATTTTGAAATATTTGCATGCGTGTAAGTTCTCCTCACATGTTTGTTATGGACTCTACATAAGTTTATCAGTATTTCACAGATTTGCCCAACTGCAGAGGTAAGTTATTTTTTTAAGAGAAGTCTACAAAGCATAACTAAGATCACCCCACTGTCATTGTTAGCCAAGATAGTGTCAACCTTCATCAACGCTGGGCAAGATCACCTTCACATGAGAAGTGGAGCGCAAGACTTTGGGGGGCCTGTGGTCTACCCAAAGAATTAGCCTAAAAAGCTCTCATCCAGCCCTGTGGTGGGAAACCAGCACCTGGAGATGGGCAAAAGTTGTAGAGGTCCAACTCAAAGATCAAACATGAGTCTCATAGATGTCCTCCTCAAAGAACCTCTTAATCATGAAAGGCATCTTGATTTTCCACCATGGGAATTCAGTCACCCCAATAATGTGGCTGAAGAACATGGGTCAGCTTCGGGGGTAAACCACAAAGAGGTTAAGCCTGGGCCAAAATCATGCCAGGAAGTGATCAATTACCAGAAAGACCCACGGTTGAAACTTCCAGGCCCCCTTTGGACCCATGTCCATCCTCTGAAGACAGGACTAGTGTGCAGTTGACTGTGGCCAACAATACACTCATCATCATGACTGGCTACATCAAAGCACCAAAGATGCTGATGAGAATTTTGTTTTCTCTCTCCATCCTTTCCTCACCAAAAAGACCCATGGCAGGAAAGAACGAGGTTCCGTTTCCTGTCCCATGTACCCATGTATGCATAGCGACATCTGTCAACTTTCTTGGGAGGCCAACGAGAGATGTTTCCTGACCATCCTTTCAACTGGAGGTCAGTTAGGTCTCCAGCAAGGCTAGTTGGCCGGCGATCCATTTTGGTTTTTTTTTTTTTTTCATCCTGTCTTCTTGCCCAGTTGAACATGTTCAGCGTGGCCCTCCGTGCCTTTGCTGAAAATTGAGGGTGGTGGATTCAAAAAGAGGTGATTTTCCCCTCCCCCCCATCAGCACTTAGTAGGCAAGTGAGGAGAAACAGGACATGGTTTGTCCTGAAATGTCCTCTCTGATGACAAATAGTGGGAGATTGACTTCTTTTAGAACACACACACAAAGAGAGAAGGGAGACCTCATTTTCCCCTGCCCTTTGGTTGCTAATATCAAGACAAATGGGTTAGCTAAGATGATACACATGCCAACAGAACCTTCTACTAGTGAAATATATTTATCTATCTATCTGTATAATACTCGTACTACCAAGCATTCTTTCATATGGATATTACCCTATCAATAGAGGAGAATATTTGTAGCTCAGGGTTGAGAGGAAAGATCCTGGGGGGTTCTCTGAGCTTGGTGGTTTGCTTTTTTGACCCAACTAGGCAATGTCATCTGTGCTAGAAGTGAGTGGAGGTTGCAAGGAAGAGGACTGTGGGGTCCTCTCCGAGCTTGGTGGTTTTCTTGTAGATGTTTCATGACTGAACTAGATAATGTCATCAGTGCTAGAAGGGAGTTGGGTTTTGCACAGATGGGTGTTACCTATTGGAGTTATGAAATGTCTGCAAGAAAACCACCAAGCTCAGAGAGCACCAAGGACCTACAGTCCTCTTCTTCTTCCTCTTCCTCCTTCTCCTTGCAAACCCTACTCCCTTCTAGCACTGATGACGTTACCTAGTTGGATCATGAGACATCTGCAAGTAAACCACCCAGGTCAGGGAGCACCAAGGGCCTCTTATTGCCCTATTGTGTCACTTTTTTTATT